TTTTTATAAATTTTTATTTGTAAAAATTTATTTTTATAAATAATTTTTTATTTATAAAAATTTATTTTATAAATTTTTATTTTATTTTATAAAAATGACAGTAAAGATGCCTTAAAAACCTATCACTCTCATCTTTTTTCATGTTAGTATTTAATTATGTGGCTATATGATCACACAATGTCATTGAAAAAAGTTATAAGCATTAGTGGTTATTGGACATGACACAACTTACAACATGGACTTCACATTTATTCTCAAGCTAAAAGGCAAAGTGATAATGAAATTTAACAAAAATTCTTTTTAAAAAAAATATATTTTATTGATTTTTTTACATAGAGGAAGAGAGAGGAAGAGAGAGGTAGAAACATTGATGAGAGAGAAACACTCCATTAGCTGCCTCCTGCACACCCCCAACTGGGGATGTGCCCGCAATCAAGGTACATGCTCTTGACCGGAATCGAACCTGGGACCCTTGAGTCTGCGGGCCGATGCTCTATCCACTGAGCCAAACCATTTAGGGCCAAAAATTTTAAATTGTATAGATAATTTTAAGTAGCAAAGAATGCACATGTTTTGTAAAGATTTTTAAAATTTCTTTATTGATTAAGGTATTACATATGTGTCCTCATCCCCCCATTAACACCTAACCACCCTCCCCCTCTCATGCCCTTTCCCCCTGTTGTCTGTGTCCATTGGTTAGACTTTATGCATTTATACAAGTCCATTGGTTGATCTCTTCTCCTTAACCCCACCCACCCAGACCTTCCCTCTGAGGTTTGACAGACTGAAAGATGATTCTCTGTCTCTGGATCTGTTTTTGTTCATCAGTTGATGATGTTCATTATATTCCATAAATGAGTGAGATCATGTGATATTTATCTTTTTCCAACTGGCTTATTTTACTTAGCATAATGCTCTCCAGTTCCATCCAAGCTGTTGCAAATGGTAAGAATTCCTTCTATCTGACTGCAGCACACTACTCCATTGTGTAGATGTACCACAGTTTTTTAATCCACTCATCTGCTGATGGGCACTTAGGCTGTTTCCAAATCTTAGTTATGGTGAATTGTGCCGCTAAGAATATAGGGCTGTGTATATCCTTTCTGATTGTGTTTCTAGCTTGAAATATATTCCAAAAAGTGGGATTCATTGGGTCAAATGGGAGTTCCACTTTTTAGTTTTTGAGGAAATTCCATACTGTTCTCCACATAAGCTGCACCCATCTTCATTCCCATAAGCAGTGCATGATGGTTCCTTTTGCTCTGCATCTTCACCAGCACTTGTCCTTTATTGATTTTGCTCAGAGTTTTTATCAAGAAAAGGGAGTCATATTTGTCAAATGCTTTTTCTGAGTCAATTAATATGACTAAGTGGTTTTTATCTCTAAATTTGTTTATGTAATGTATCACATTTTTGGATTTGTGGATATTGTACCAGCCTTGCATCCCCAGGACAAATCCTACTTGGTCATGGTATATGATCTTTCTGGAGTACTGCTGGATCTGATTTGCTAGAATTTTGTTGAGGATTTTGACATCTATGTTCATGGGGGATATTGGCCTATAATCCTTTTTCATTGTGTTGTCTTTATCTGGTTTTGGTATTAGGGTGATGCTGGTTTCATAGAATGAGCTTGGGAAGTGTTCCATACTCTTGAATTTCTTGAAATAGTCTGAGAAGGATAGATTTTAGTTCTCCCTTGAATGTTTGGTATAACTCCCTGTGAAGCCATCTGGCCCCGGGCTCTGTTTGCTGGGAGCTTTTTGATAATTGCTTCACTTTCTTCCATAGTTATCAGCCCTGGTTTTGGAAGATTAAGTTTTGGAAGATTGTATTTTCCCAGGAATATGACCATTTCCTCCAGGTTGTCTAGTTTGATGGAGTAGAGTTGTTCATAGTATTTTTTTTTTTTTTAACAATCCTTTGTATTTCTGTGGGGTCTGTTGTTATTTCACCTCTTTCCTTTATGATTTTGTTTATTTGGGTCCTCTCTCTTTGCTTCTTGGTGAGCTTGGCTAGAGGTTCATCAATCTGATTTATCCTCTCAAAGAACCAGCTCTTGATTTCATTTATCTTTTGTATTGTTTTCTTGTGGTTTTGTTTGTTTGTTTGTTTGTTTGTTTTTGTCTCCATGTCATTTATTTCTGCTCTGATCTTTATTACCTCATTCCTTCTGCTCACTCTGAGCTTTCTCTTTCTAATTCTTTAAGTTGCCGAGTTAGATGATTTACTACCATTTTTTCTTGTTTTTAGAGGAAGCCTGTAAAACTATAAACTTCCCTCTCAGGATTGCTTTCATTGTGTCCTATTAAGTTTGGATTGTTGTGTTTTTACTGTCATTAGTTTCCAGGATGTTTTTAATTTCTTCTTTGATTTCATTGGTAACCCAATCATTATTTAATAGCATGCTATTCAGTTTAAAAGTGTTTGAGATTTTTTTTTATTGTTTTTATTGTAATTTATTTCTAATATTATGCCATTGTGGTCTGAGAAGATGTTTGGTATGATTTAAATCTTCTTGAATTTGGGGAGACTTTGCTTGTGACCTAATATGTGGTATATTTTTGAAAATGTCCCATTCTGCACTTTAAAAGAATGTATATTACACTACTTTAGAGTGAAATGTTCTGAAGATTTCAATTAAGTCCATCTAATCTAGTGAGTCATTTAGGATTGCTGGTTCTTTGCTGATTTTTTGTCTAAAAGATTTATCCAGTGATGTCAGAGGTGTATTAAAGTCCCCTATATGATTATACTATTGTTGATTTCGCCCTTGATATCTTCCAGGAGTTTTTATATGTATTTGGGTGCTCCTGCATTGGGTGCATATATGTTTACCAGGGTAACATCTTCTTGTTGTACCTATCCCTTTCGTATTATGAAGTGGCCTTCCTTATCTCTTGTTATGGCCTTCACTTTGAGGTCTATTTTGTCAGATATAAGTATTGCTACCATAATGATCACTGTCTTAAATGATCAAATATTTAAGAATTGCTTAATTCTGTCATATCCATGGTTCTTCCTTTCTGATTGAGTTCCTCTGAATATATTCCAATTTTTCAAAATAGTCTATAAAATGTGACATTCATAATTAAGCCAGGAGTCTAGATCTAGACTGACTGGAGGAGGAGACTGTAGCTCTCTCCTGTTCTCTTGGGAAAATATAAATCTTTGAACTGCATTAATATAAATTTACTAATAGTTTCTTGCTGTGATGATTGATAATGAGTCAATTGAAATGCTCCAACACTTCTCATCTGAACTGTGGTAATAGATGACAAAGCAGAGTTTGGTATAATACAACTGTGAGGGAGGTTGTGGACCCAGTGAGGTTGTGGACCCAGTCCAGATCACACAGCTAATGACAGCACCCATTGGAGCATCCAGATTTTCCTATTCTCCAGAGCTCTTTTCTCTCTCACTGAAGTGGGCTGATGATACAATGTTCTTAGAACTAATCAAATATGTATTTACAATTATAGTACTAAATCATCAAAGTGACTTTTTTCACAGGACCCTGTAGACATTTCAGTCAATGATGGACCACATAGACAGTGGTCCAATAGGACTGAAATGGAGCCGAAAATTTCCCATCACCTACTGGTGTTGTAGCATAAGACACTCAAATATCTGTAGTGGATGAGACTAGGGTAAGCAAGCACACTGCACAGACAGTCATATAAAACCATACTACATACAATACTTATAGTACATAATACTTGGTAATGAAAATAAATGAGTATGCTACTTATTTATGTACTTACTATGTACATTTTATCAATATTTTAGAATGCACTCTTTCTAAAAAAAAAAGTGACTTCAGTATATTTTAAAATATACTCTAGGAAGATAGTAATTTCTGGATGCCTAAATGGAATATTTACAAAAACTATTGAATATCCAACTTATTCAAAGTAAAAATTTGTAGATTCCACAAGTTAAGTCTACATAAATAACAGTGACTTCCAGATACAAGAATTCGTTTATTAGTTATTCCTTTTCATTCACACAAAAACTTCCAAATATTTAGGTTCAAAATATGCTTGATAAGACCTACCAATGAACATGGTAAAACTGGAACAATGTTCAGTTTTCCTCATCAGAAAAAACAAAACAAAAAACCTAAAAAATGTAATAAGTAATTAAAGCTAGATTTTCCTCATTTACCACTTCTGAAACCCATACCGTGTTTCCCCGAAAATAAGACATCCTCCAAAAATAAGACCTACTTACAGGTTTCCTTTTGAGTGAAATATAAGGCATCCCCCGAAAATAAGGCTTATCTCCAGACTCTTGATATTGCAATAAACAAGCCACTCAAAGATAATTTGTACATGGAAATTAATGACTACATTAAAAATAGAATGGAGAGAAATCAGCGTGGAAACTTTGTGAAACCTAAACTGCAAGAAGTTGTGAGTTGGGTGAAGAATCCATGGGAGAAAATCACTGACAGTTGCATTGCAAATGCACTGCGAGCAGGCTACCCTGACAAGAAGTACTCATTTAAAGACAGTGCTATTGCTAAACATGAGAGATTTGGTTCACTGATTCTGAAAGAAATGGAGTCACAAGAAATTCACCAGGAAATTCAGGAATTGGATTGTTATGATGATGTTCCAGAAGATGATGACATGATTGTCATTGAATAAATGAGTAAATTCTTGATACTGTAGGATTCACAGTTTGTCTGGTTTGTGTTGACAACTACGGTACTACTGTACACTATACAGGTAATAAATTTCCTTTATTTTCATTTAACAATAAATGTGTACTGTATTCTTCTTCATGGAAAAATAAGACATCCCCTGCAAATAAGACCTAACACATCTTTGGGCACAAAATTAATATAAGACACTGTCTTTTTTTCGGGGAAACAGGGTAGTAGTTCTAATGAGACATTTTTCACAGTTGATATATTAAAAGGCAAAATATGCATGCAATTTTTTGTTGTTTCATTCAAATCTTATGTTCTCTTTTCCACTGATATATTTACTAACCTCTTCGAGGACTCTCATGATTGAAGAGAATACCATTCACAGCAAAGAGATTATATGCTTCACGGAAGTTCACCACAATCCAATAGGCATATAGTTTCGCTGCCCCTGTTGGAATAATTTTTGAAAAGCAAATAAAAGACAGTGATCATTACAAAAGACAGTATCTTATTATTAAAAAGCAGTGATTTTTATTGATCTTAAACAAGTAACTACTTGCAAGAATTACAATCTATAATTACCAAGATAGAAAAAAAAAATGGGTCAAATGCCAAATACAAATAAAGGTTCCTTTGCCAGTTAGTCAGGTGTACAAGGAAATATTTAAGAATTACTTAATTCTGTCATATCCATGGTTCTTCCTTTCACAATCTGATTTCAACTATAGTGTGTGCCATCTATCAAGTAGACCCTCTTAGATTTTTTCCCTTTTTCTTAGTACTAAGGAATTAGAATGTGGAAAATATGGGATCTTAATATTCTAGCTGCTTATAAATTTTATCACTGAATTCTATTTTTTGTTTGTTTTGTTTTTGCTTTTTAAAGGTTTGAACTCAGGGATACTTTCATCAGGAGATAAAAAACATGAAACCACATGACTTCAGCACAACAGTTCAGAAAAAGGAATCATGTTTGGTCCAATTTTCTTTTTTGAGTGATCTGTATGAAAGGGTTGAATGAACATGAATTGGTGAGGTGAGGTGATAATTTTACCCTGGAGGCAATGGCAGCAAACACTGTAGTTAGCAATGTATAAAGGTATGCTTCTCAACAAGTCTAGTCACTTTAGTCTATCTTAATGTGAATCTCACACCCAAATGATTTCAGCCATGAGACATGAAGAGAATTAAAAAAGAAATACACATGCCGGCACCCATAGAGAGCACAGAGCATGTGCAGGTTGTGTGTAGGCATTCTTACCATATGGTGATCGAGGGTAAAAGGGAGTGGTCTCCTTCTGGGGTATTTCTTGCACTTTCCCATAAAGTTCACTTGTGGAGGCTTGATAGAACTTCACAGAATTGATAAGGCCACAGGTCTTAATTGCATCCAAGAGCCTTAAAGTGCCAACTCCGTCAACATCTGCAGTGTATTCAGCCAGGTCAAAAGAAATCTGGAGACAGCAGAAGACAGTGGGTACAGTAAGGGAAAGAGCAACAAAGATGCTGATGACTAACAATTATTTTTTTTTTATAATATCACACACATAGAAAAGTTATGCTTATGAGAAAACATTTTCTAATAGAATAAAAGTGTGGATATTATCTATTATATTTCTAACACCAAGTGGATGGAAATACATTAAGAAATAAGTATCTGTTGTAAAATGAGAAACACTAGAATCACATCCCTCACGTCTTAATTCTAGGTTGCAGTCCCAGGGCAGTGTTTTTCAAACCTGGACATCACCTGGGGTGCTCCTGGAAAATAAAGACTGGCCCAGTCTCTTGGGGGAGGGCTATTTACATATTAGTCTTTTATTATATAGTGGCCTGGTGCATGAAATTCGTGCACGGGGGAGGGTGGGTGTTCCACAGCCTGGTTTCTAATCTGGGGCCCCTCAAAGGATCTCCTACTGCTGGTTTAAAGGGATCAGACTTAACCCGGTGGTCGGACATCCCTCTCACAATCTGGGACTGCTGGATCCAGGCGCTCACCTGCCTGCCTGCCTACTGATTGCCCCTAACCACTCTGTCTGCTGGCCTGCTCGCCCCCAACTGCCCCTGCCAGCAAGATCAGCCCCAAATGCCCCCCTGTCAGCCTGCTCACCCCAAATGCCCCCACCTCCCCTCCCCACTGGCCTGCTTACCCCCAATTGCCCCCCCAACTAGCTTGCTCACTCCAAACTGCCTCCCCCCAACCCCCGCTGTCCTGATCACCTCCAACTGACCCCCATTGACAGCCTGCTCACCCCCAACTGGCCCCCATGCTGGTCTGCTTGCTTCCAATGGTCCCTGCCGTCCCATCCTGGCCTGATCATCCCTGGGGACCCAAGGTCCGAGCCCCTCCTCTTTTTTTTTTCAGCACATCCTTGAGCAGAGGCCAAAGCCAGCTGGAATCAAGTATCTAGGGTTTATTTATCTTCTATAATTGAAACTTTGTAGCCTTGAGCAGAGGCCAGGGCCGGCCAGGGTGGGAAGCTTGGTTTCCTCCATCTCCAGGGGCAACCCAAGCTTCCTGCTCAGCTCCAGCTCCATGGCCACTGCCATTTTGTTGTTGTTGTTGATGTTGGTTCTTTTTATCTTCTAAAATTGAAACTTTGTAGCCTTGAGCGGAGGCCAGGGCTGGCCTGGGCTAGAAGCTTGGCTTCCTCCATTGCAGGGGCAACCCAAGCCTGCTGCTTGCTCCAGCCCTGCGGCCAGCTGGCAGATTGGTTGGGTTAATTTGCATACTCACTCCTGATTGGTTGGTGGGTGTAGCTTGTGGGTATAGCAAAGTAATGGTTAATTTTTATTTTTCGATGTTACTTTCTTTTAATATAGTTAACACTAACATTTTGTTCTGTGGCCTTATTTCACACAATTGTTCAGCCTTACATTCTTTATTTTAATTAATCAATTTGCTGGCTAAACTTAGTTTTCCAAAAGAAGTGCCTAGGTGCTCTATACCCCATGTAAAATTTGATTTTAATTTTGTTTTAAAATGGTCTTGCAGGGAATGTTGGATTATATAAAGTTCCTGAATCTTATTTTCTTTGCTCTACTCTCTTCCAGAGTCAAGGTTTTCTTTTTCATTTACTCATTTAAAATGTACTGTTGAGCGCCTATCATACGTTAAACAGTAGTAGGGAAAGGATACCATGTCCCTGTCCTCATGAGTCTTCTAGCCTAGTGAAGCTATCAACAAAAATCAGTTGGTGACAATTATTATGGAAATAATTAAGGGTGGAGGAGGGATATCTTTAGAGATTCAATTGAAAATGGAAACATACTATCAAAAATATTTTCACTTCAATGTTTTTATGTTTGTTTAGCTTTCAGGGTATTTTTAGGAATTAATGTTGAATACAATGGAAAAGCATTAACCTGAAGATGAACAGTTCTTTCAGTCACTATTACTTATAAATCTAAAATATCTTGTCATGAAATCCTACCCTATAATGTGAAGGATTAAATGTTGAAAAGGTTCTAGGCAGTATACGTCTATTAAATCATAAATTCAAGTACATTGAAATAAACATCAAAGACTTCTTATCTCAAAGACCATACAAGAGATTTTTTTAAAAACACTTAGACAATACAATCAGATTTAACAGCTAACTTGTTAAGTGTCTAGCACCTTCAAACCACTGTATCTATAAAGGAATCCAAACTCAATATAGTATCTTTGTCTTCACAAATTAGACAGCACTTTAAAATAATGCCTAAGATGTCTATTAATTTTCTTGGTGTGGAAAAATTCTTCATATATAGGTTATTTTGAAAAGTTGGAATTTTTTTCAACCTACTTTCCAACTAACGAGTCATGAAAATAATATTAATATGAAGGGTCCCTGTCTATATCTGTAGAATTTTGGCTAACACAAGACCATATTCCAGAAAATTGCTTGATAACAAACACATGCTTCTAAGCTAACATACTTGGGAAGGAGTTTCACAATGAAAATCAGAGTTTATAAACAGGATGATATACTGCTTAGTCACAATAAATCAAGGTGTAGAGAAAACAAGAAGATAATATTGTTGCTAGATAATTATGATGATGACACATATTTTTGTGGCATCTGGACCCCACTAATGATTTTAGATATTATCTTATGAACATCCCTTAATCCCTTGAGACAAAGAGAGAACATATATTCTTTTAGTTCTGCAAAAGGGAAATCAGGAATAAAATAATTTAGTTAAAATTTTACAAAATCAAAGCACAGCCCAGTTATCTGCCCAAGAAGCACCTGTCCATTAAACTTTAAATCTTTGCACAAAGCACTGTCATTTTCACCCCACCCACTCCCCTAAAGAATCTGTGACAAAAACGACAGCAAAAATTTCAAATGTCAGCAGCAGCAAATTCCAAGGGCATTTCTTAGAACAAGACTTGCCAGAAATGAGGAGCCACATAGGACTTTGGTCATAAAATATGTGCCTTACAATCTCCGAATATTAGTTAAACTGCAATAAAACAGAACTTACCAAGTTCTTAAATTTTGAAACCCGCCTTGTAATAGGGAGGGATAAAGTCATCTCAGGGCAAAAGTAACACCTTTCAAAAGTAAGGGAAATCACTCCCCAGGATTAGTGCAAGATCCCATTATTTAAACTGCTATTGCAACCATTTCCTATGTATTATGACCCCTTTTCCAAAGCCATGTTTGTCCAAGAAGATGATTTTACCCTAAATTCCTGATAAAGATCCAATGTAGGTATTTTTATTTTGACATGTAGACCTCTACCACATGCAAAAGTAAGACCACACGGCATGGTCACACAATACCGTGCACTATATACTACACGATTAAGTATTCTTTAGCTACAAATCAGTGTGTGTCCCAAAAAGCTCTTTTCTTTGAGTATAAAAGATTCAGAGGTGACTGAAATTAAAATTAATCTAGATGTATGTCTCTACACTTTAAATTTATTAACCTTTAAAGAGAATGTCCATTGCCCAAAGGCTAAGGGGTAAACTCCTTCCAGTACACCAACAATTTAGAAAGTTTTTGTTAGTCATATCACACCTATACCCTAAAAGGATAGATGTAGATTTAAAGCAGCAAAATTTCCAAAGCAATTTTCTGTGTCAGCCTCAGTGGAGATCAGAAGCCATGGAGGCCAGCCAGGAGCCACTGTTTATTATCCCCCATCCAGATATCTACTGGCTAAAACTTCAAAACAACTCTAAGTGTGAGAACAGAATTTAGCTATTTTTAAATTTTTTTTCTTTTTTAAAATTTCTTTATTGATTATGGTGTCACATAATTGTTCTCATTCCCACATTCCAATCCCAAACCCCTCCCCACATATGCCCTGCTGTCCATGACCACTGGTTAGACTAATATGCATGCGCACAAGTCCTTTGGTTGATCTCTTCCCTTTGCCCCCACCCTCCCCTACCTTCCCTCTGAGGTTTGGCAGTCTGATCGCTGCTTCTGTCTCCAGGTCTGAAAGTATCATAGTGATTGACTATAATATTAACTATAATATTTTAATTTAAAAATTAAAGTTTTTCTATCTTAAGTTCTTCCCAGAGATAAGAGGTTATACCAGGCAACTCTGACCTCCCATGAGCTATCAGACACAGGGGACTTGATTTAAAACTCCCTACTCTGGGTTTGGCCCACGATTGTTATTGACTAAAAGCTTTCTAAAATACCAAGGGGCCTCATGGTTGATACCAAAGTTCTAGACATTGGCACTGCCACTCAGGGAACAGGAAAAGAAGGCAAAGAAATCCTGAACACTTCATCCACTGACATTTCATAAAATTGTGTGAGAAAAGTATTGAAGTGATGGAAATAAGGACTGTAAAAACAGCCAGGAATACAAAAAGATTCTAATTTGAGGCAAACTTTAAATGGGTTTCTGGTGTTTGGATTTCTGCTCTTTAGAAAATTATTTGAGCTAATGTTTGGCATTAGCTGCTGAAAACTGTCTATAACATAAAGCAATTGGAATTAAACTAATAAAAGCTTACACCATTTCAATGCATAGATTTAATAATTAGATAAGAGTGATTTGCAATGAGTGTATAGATAGTTTATAAGTGAGAGCTTCTAAGTACTTAAGAAGTACTTTCGGATGCTTATAAACAAAGTCCTGCTTTAAGTAGTTTGAACATTCTTGCTAAAATCTTGTTTGCAATATTAGTTTGCTTAGTGGAAGGTTTTTCAGAGACTGTTATGGTGAGTTTTAATAAGCCCTGTTCTGGAATTGCTCAAATCTTTACTCAATGGAGACTGGATTAATAAGGTTTTAAATTCTCTCTAACACAAGGCCTTGTGCAAGATGTTAAGTATTATGGAGTTCAACTACATGGTTAACACTAGATAGAGGCAAGAAAATTCTCATCAGTGTCAGTCTACTAGGCCATTAACCCCACAGGAAACAACTTGCCTTTCGATGGCTGCAATTCTTTAAAAGAAAGAGGAGAGGTAAATTTATGTAGCCTGGAGTAGAC